ACGGACATCACCCAGAACCACAGGAACGCTGGCTGAGTGGAAGTCCTACAACTAGGAGGAAAGAGAAACGCATACGGACACTCAGAGGAGTCGCAGTGCTGAAGTCAAATTCTGAGGTGCGGAGTGCGCGAGCGGGCTGGCGGCGGAGGGCGCGGTTGGAGTTTTCAATCGGGAGGGAGTCGCAGACTCTGAGCTCCAGATCCGGGCGAGTCTTTAGCGACCCAGACTCAAACGGGAGAAGCGGGACTGTCTGGCTTCGGTCAGAGCGAGTGCAGCTTTCTCTCTGAGCTTTGCAGCGGGTGCTGGGACTCAGAGAGGCAGAGCCCCTGGGGACAGGACTGAGAGCCGCCATAACTGCTCTCTCCGGCCCACCCTGTTGATCCTGTGCGACCCGCCCCGCCCAAGCCCTGCACAGAGGCATTTGCTGGATAGCCTCAGGCAAAACCTAGATTAGCACCTCCCTAGAGGACAGAAGTTCTCTCATTGCAGACACAGCTGATTCTCATAGCCACTTGGCCTGGAGGTCAAACCCTCCCTGGTATTAGCTACAACAATCAAGGTTTAACTATAAGACTGCGCACAAAGACCACTAGGGGGTGCACCGAGGAAGCATAACAAAATGCGGAGACAAAGAAACAGGACAAAATTGTCAATGGAAGATAGAGAGTTCAGAACCACACTTTTAAGGTCTCTCTAGAACTGTTTAGAAGCCGCCGATAAACTTAATGAGATCTACAAGAAAACTAATGAGACCCTCGATGTTATATTGGGGAACCAACTAGAAATTAAGCATACACAGTCTGAAATAACGAATATTATACAGACTCCCGACAGCAGACCAGAGGAGCGCAAGAATCAAGTCAATGATTTGAAATGCGAGGAAGCAAAAAACACCCAACCGGAAAAGCAAAATGAAAAAAGAATCCAAAAATGCGAGGATAGTGTAAGGAGCCTCTGGGACAGCTTCAAGCGTACCAACATCAGAATTATAGGGGTGCCAGAAGATGAGAGAGAGCAAGATATTGAAAACCTATTTGAAGAAATAATGACAGAAAACTTCCCCCACCTGGTGAAAGAAATGGACTTACAGGTCCAAGAAGCGTGGAGAACCCCAAACAAAAGGAATCCAAAGAGGACCACACCAAGACACATCATCATTAAAATGCCAAGAGCAAAAGATAAAGAGAGAATCTTAAAAACAGCAAGAGAAAGAAACTCAGTTACCTACAAGGGAATACCCATACGACTGTCAGCTGATTTCTCAACAGAAACTTTGCAGGCCAGAAGGGAGTGGCAAGAAATATTCAAAGTGATGAATACCAAGAACCTACAACCAAGATTACTTTATCCAGCAAAGCTATCATTCAGAATTGAAGGTCAGATAAAGAGCTTCACAGATAAGGAAAAGCTAAAGGAGTTCATCACCACCAAACCAGGATTATATGAAATGCTGAAAGGTATCCTTTAAGAAGAGGAAGAGGAAGAAAAAGGTAAAGATACAAATTATGAACAACAAATATGAATCTATCAACAAGTGAATCTAAGAATCAAGTGAATAAATAATCTGATGAACAGAATGAACTGGTGATTATAATAGAATCAGGGACATAGAAAGGGAATGGACTGACTATTCTTGCGGGGGAAAGGGGTGTGGGAGATGCGGGAAGAGACTGGACAAAAATCGTGCACCTATGGATGAGGACAGAGGGTGGGGAGTGAGGGCGGAGGGTGGGGCGGGAACTGGGAGGAGGGGAGTTATGGGGGGGAAAAAAGAGGAACAAATGTAATAATCTGAACAATAAAGATTTAATTTAAAAATAAATAAATAAAAATAAAAATAAATAAAATAAAAAATAAATAAATAAAGCTATCATTCAATTGTCTATTGGCTCCAATGTTGCTGTTGGGAATTAGCTGTCAGCAGTCTAGTGTTTTTCCTTTCTTTGAAAGTAATCTGTCTTTTCTCTTTGGCTGCTCTACTGTGGTGTCTCTTCTCAGTTCTGAAAGCTCTCAACTATTTCTTTTGTCTCCTTTCCTTCTAGAACTCTAATTTATACCTGAGTCGATAACTCTAAATTCCAAGTTTCTTTCTTGTTTGCTGCCTTTTATCTTTTTTAAACATTTTTTATTGATTTCAGAGAAAGAGGAAGGGAGAGGGAGAGAGAGATAGAAACATCAATGTGAGATAAATACCAACATCAATTGGCTCCCTTCTGCACGCCCCCTGCTTCGGATCGAGCATGAAACCTGGGCATGTGCCCTGACCCAGAGTGGATCCAGCAATCTTCTGGTACATGGGTCAATGCTCAACCACCAAGCCACACTGGCTGGGATCTTTTATCTTTCTTCAGAAAAAAACTTGATTATAACATGTACTAGATGTTATATTATACAACTTGATTTGAAACTTACCAAACAACAGCAAAACCTGGCTAGAAAATCATTTTATACCCTCTTTCATATACAGTAGTCCTCCCTTATCCATAGTTTCTCTTTTGCTGTTTCAGTTACCCATGGTTAACTGTGGTCCGAAAATATTAAATGGGAAATTCCAGAAATAAATGATTCATACATTTTAAATTGCCTGCCGTTATGAATAGTATGATGAAGTCCCTCACCATTCTGCCCCATCAAACCTGGGATATCAATCATCCCTTTGTCCAGCTTATCCATGGTGTATATGCTATCCACCCATTAGTCACTTAGAAGCTGTCTTGCTTATCAGATCGACTGTCATGCTATCACAGTGTTTGTGTTCAAGTAACACTTATTTTACTTAATAATAGCCCCAAAGTGCAAAAGTAAATGAGGCAATTCAAATATACCAAAGAAATGCCATAACTTACCATCTTTAAATGAAAAATTGAAAGTTCTCAACTTAATAAGAAAAAAATCATGCTGAGTTTGCTAAGATCTATGGTAAGAACAGAACTTCTATCTGTGAAATTGCATAATTTATAAATTAAACTTTATTATAGGTATGTATGTATAGGAAAAAACATAGTATAAATAGGATTCAGTATTATCTGTGTTGTCAGGCATACTGAGGGTCTTGGAACTTGTGCTCCAGGGATAAGGGAGACTACTATATTCTCTTTGCCTCTCTGTGCTTATTTTTTTTAGGAATTTCTACTTTATATTTTTAAATAATTTATTTTTAAATTGAGATATTATTGACATATAACATTATATTAGTTTCAGGTGTACAACATAATGATTTTATATCTGTATATAGTGTATATAGTGTAAAGTGATCACCACCATAAGTTCAGTTATCATCTATCATTACCACAGTTACAGATTTTTTCTTATAATAACTTTTAAGACCTATTCTCTTATGAATAACTTCTTCTAAAATGTCTTCCAGCCCTAGCCGGTTTGGCTCAGTGGATAGAGTGTCGGCCTGCGGACTGAAGGGTCCCGGGTTCGATTCTGGTTAAGGGCATGTACCTTGGTTGTGGGCACATCCTCAGTAGGGGGTGTGCAGGAGGCAGCTGATCGATGTTTCTCTCTCACTGATGTTTCTGACTCTCTGTCCTTCTCCCTTCCTCTCTGTAAAAAATCAATAAAATATATTTAAAAAAATAAAAGTAAAATGTCTTCCAATTCACTAATTCTCCAATTAATTGTGTTTAATTTGCTGTTAATCTCTTCAATTGATTAAGTTCTTAATTTCAATCATTTTTTTTTTTTTTACTTCTGGAAGATCATTGAATAAATTTTCAAATATGGTAATTTTTAAGAATTTTTTGTCCTCCACACACATATTTATTTCTTTAAACATAGTAAGCATAGTTCTACATATCCTCTGTTTAATCATCCCAGTATCTAAATTACTTCAGGATGTGGCTCTGTCATCTTACTTTTGCCAATTCTCACTTGTGGTGGTAATTCAATTGCTTGGTTGATTATTAACTCTTTTGAGTGAGCTGCTCACTTTCCTTATAACATAATTTGAATAAATTAATTGAGATCTAGGACAAAGGTGAATTTCTTCAGAAAGGATCTGTGTTTACATTGCTTTTGCTAAGTGTTTGGGAACACTCCCTTAACAGACCGGCTCAGGATCACTTAAAGTTTTTTTTTTATCCTCATCCAAGGATATGGTATTTTGTTGTTGTTAGTTTGTTTTAAATTCTCACCTGAGGATTTGTATACAGAGATAGAGATGGGAGAGGGAGAGGGAGAGGGAGAGGGAGAGGGAGAGGGAGAGGGAGAGGGAGAGGGAGAGATCGGTTGCCTCCCATACTCCCTCTGACCAGGGATAGAACACAAAACCTATGTGTGTGTCCTGACTAGGAATCACATTTGCAACCTTTTGGTATAATGGACAATGCTCCAACCAACTGAGCCACCTGGCCAGGACTCACTTTAAATTTATGACTAGAGATTTCTTAAATAACTCAGGCAGTGGGAATTGGGACTGCATGATGACAAACTGTAGGCCGAATTTTTCCTCCCTGTTCTGCTTAGCACCACAAAGGAAATATTCCTTTGTAGTTCCTGGGGAAAGTTGGTGCAAAAACAAGTTAATTTCTCCTTCACTGGGGGTTTATTCATATTGGACACCAATTAAATGGGGGAAAAGACTGCTATTAGACTTTCCACTTTTAATTGGCTGCATGACTTGTGACTTGTTTTGGGTGGCTTTTGCAAAGTTGAAATCCTCAAATTCCCCCAATTCTACAATGGTCTTCAGCACAGAGCTGATGTCATTACTTTGCTTCTTTTTGTTATCACAGTCTCTTAGGATTTATCTTGATAATTCCTTACCTTACAAATCTTTGAGGCTTTTTATCTTTTCAAATATTTTAATTGATTTTTAGAGGGAGAGGAAGTGAGTGGGAGAGAGAGAGAAATATCAATGTGAGAGCAGAACATCACTCCTCCCATTGGGGATTGAACCCGAAATTCCGACATGTGCCCTGACTGGGACTTGAATCAGCAACCTTTTGGTGTACGGGAGGATGCCCAACAGACAAAACCACACTGGCCACAGCAAAAATATGGAATGCTTCACAAACTTGTGTTTCATCCTTGAGCAGGGACCATGCTAATCTTCTCTGTATCTTTCCACTTTTACTATTGTGCTGCCAAAGCGAGCCCCCTTTCAAGGCTTTTAAATAGATGTTTTCTTATCTGTTAACCATTACTTTTTGTGTTCAGAAGTAATGACATTCCAGAAACAGAAAACCTATACTCCCTCTTTGGTCTACTTCAATATAGCTTCTGGATCCACTAAAACTCCTTTACAAAGGTCAGAAATGATCGCTAAGTTGCCATGTTGATTAGACATACTTTTCATTCCTACCTAATTCAACCTCTTGGCAGTTTCTGACACATCTAATTATTCCTTTTCTCTTGGAACCAGTTTCTGGCTTTTACAACACCTCACTTTTCTATACAACTCTTCAATTACCATTCCTCAGGGCTCAGATCTGGGTCTTCTGATTTCTACATTTCTTCTGCCCCCACTCTGCCTTAAACTTACTAACATCTCTTTCTTACATTACTTTAATAGCTTTCTCATTGGATGTCCTCTGCCGACTCTTCTCTCCAACCAATCTATTCTCCCCATAGCAGCAAGAGTAATTTAAAAAAAAATGAAAATTAGATCATGTCATTTTGCCTGGGTCAAACCCTTTAAAGTACTGCATTTGAACCTTAGATAAATTGCAAGCTATTTAACACTGCCCATAAAACAGTATGATCTGAATCCTGCTTATATATCCATAATTGTCCTCTTATACAATACTACAGACAAACTGACCTTTTTTTAGTTACTCAACATGTTATTCTTTCCCACCTTAGATCCTTGACATGCTGTTTCTTCTTCCTGGAATATTATTTCTGTGCTCTTTGCATGGTTTACTTCTACTCATATTTCATATCTCACTTTAACTGTTACTTTCTGAGACTTTCTCTGACCAACTAATCCAGTGGCATCCTGTACTTTTCCTTTAGAAAATGTGTCATAATTTGTGATTAAACATTTATTACAAATTTATTTATTTAAGTTCTTTCCCCACAATTATCTTTACCAGTAAATGCCAGGAACATGGAAGCCCTATTTGCTATTTTCCCAGTCTACACCCAGGACTTAGCATAGTGTTTAACACATAGTAGGAGTCCAAAAAGCATATGTTAAATCATTGATTTTTTATCTCTTTAAGGAAACCTACATGAAATTACAATTATAATTAGAAATTACATGTTGATTACAGACAGAACCAAGGCATATGAGTTATATGATAATAATACTCATAGAGATCAGGCTAAAATTAAGACATATCTGAGAATAGACCCATAACGCTTAAATCCTTATAGCCTAGAGTACTTTCCCCTGATTAATATTTAATGAGTAAAACCAGCACCTTCCTCAATAACTTAATACATGGCTTTTTATTATTGTTATTTATACTTTATTTAAAGCAAGTAAATAATCATCTACAAGTAGCATGCTTCTCATGCTGACTTGCAAATTCATTATTTGGAACTCTGAAAAGATTTTCCACACATCCAACATTATGTACAGTGGTTAGGTTCCTTTGGTTAGTCCATAATGCTTAATTTATTATTCATTCATCCATTTAAAAATATTAATTGAACATCACTTTGTGCCAGGATCTGTTCTAGCACTGAGGATACAATAATCAAATAGAAAAAAATCTTGATTGTGGTGATGATTTTATGAGTTTATACATGTGGCAATAATTATTAGATACAGTTTTAATATGTACAGTTCATTTTATGTCACTTATGCCTCAATAAAGCTGTTTAAAAAGTGGTTTTAAAAATTATAACTAGAATCTATTTTGTTTATCAGTTTATTTTGTTTGTTAGAGTCCACATGTAAGTGAGACATGGAAGCATGCAACAGACTGAGGATCCTCAGAGGGAAGGGGAGGAAGGGAAGAGATTAACCAATCAATATGGTTAATATGGACACAGACAATAGTGGGGTGAAGGCCTGGGGAGGGGACAGGAGTGGGAAGGAGGAGACCAATGGGGGGGGGGACATCTGTAATACTTTTAACAATAAAGATAAATTTTAAAAAAATGTTGTGACTAGTAGATGAATAAGTTCTGGAGAGCTAATGTACAGAATAGTGATTATAGTCAACAATACTGTATTATATACTTCAAAGTTGCTAAAAGACTAGATCTTACGTGTTCAAACCACAAAAAGAAATGGTAATTATGTGACATGATGCAGGTGTTAGATAACACTACAGTGGCAATCATTTTGAAATATATGAATGTATCCAATCAGTATGCTGTATGCCTTAACTTACACAATGTTATATGCCTTATCTCTCAATAAAAAATAAAATAAAGCAAAGGGGAAAAAAGCATTCTGGAGAGAATTAAGGGAGATGGTAGGATAAGATAGTATTAAAATTTCTAGGGAGGAGAGGACGTAAGTTTTGGAAACAAAACTTTGTTGCATTGTTATGATTTGTTTGCAGTTGTAATAATTTATTTTTTAGTATGTTTTATTGATTTGAGAGGGAGGAAGGGAGAGGGAGAGATAGAAACATCAATGAATAGAGAGAATCATCGATCTGCTGCCCCCTGCATGCCCTCTACTGGGGATCTAACCGGAAACCCAGGCATGTGCCCTGACTGGAATTGAACCAATGGCCTCTGGGTGCATGGGTCCATGCTCAACCACTGAGCACATCGGCCGGGCCACAATAAATTATTTTTAAATCTCAGATTACACTTAAGGAGGACATGTTATCAAAAGAGGCACAGGTTTTGCCCTCTCTCTCTCCCTCTCTGTCTAAAAATCAATAAAAAGCAAAACGAAACAAAAATAAACAAAAAAATTCTCTGCTTGTATATTGTAGAAAATTTTGGAATGAATTCCTTTTTTTGATCCTCAGGGAGAGGGAGAGATGGAAACATCAATGATGAGAGAGAATCATTAATTGGCTGCCTCCTGCATGCCCCACAATGGGGATCCAGCTGCAACCCAGGCATGTGCCCTGACCAGGAATCGAATCCAGAACCTTTCAGTCTGCAGGCCGATGGTCTATCTACTGAGCCACACCAGCCAGGCTTAATATACACTGTGAGTGAGGTTGAGCATTTTCTTATGTTTTACTGGATAATTGTATTTTTTTTTAAGAAGCACTTCGCTAAAGAGAGTTGAAAATGAATGGATATATATATATACACCACTTTGGTGGAACACAGCTGTTATAGTAAATAAAATATACTTCCATGTTACTTGCACTTTAAAAAAATAAAATTTTTCTATTGCTAATATCAATGTGAAAAGTACAGAGACAAGAACAATAGAAATACAGTGTTCTGGCATTTAAAAAAATCGACCAATGATCTGTAATGTGCCATGGGCAGTAAAACATATGGTGGGAATTAAGATTTTCAGAGGGATAGAAAGGATGGCTTGTTTCTTTCACTGGCTTGTTTCTTTCACTGGCTAAAAGGTTATGACCCAGCATGCACCATATGACCTGTCAGAACCTACTGACCCACCAATTATCCTGTGGAAAATGGAACTCAGTAACTCTTCCTAATTTTCACCCAAATCTGTAGCTCCTGCTGTGTTCCCCATCTCTGTTAAAGGCATCAAATCTATCCAGCCTGCCAAACTAGAAATCTTGGGGGTGTCACTATTTCTTCTGCTGCTCTAGGCAGCTGCTCCCCGCCCTCACTTCTATTACTGGGTGTTTGTGAGAATGAAACATGTACCATGGCTGTAAGTGCCCAGCACAATGTCAGGCAGGCAGTGATCAGAAAAGGGACTTATTTCATTCTTTCATCTTGTGCAGTTTTTGCTTTATCCAACAGTTCCATCCCCAACAACAACAAAACCCCCAAAACAACCACAAAACGTTTAAAGTAATGCCTTCTTATCAGTGATCTACAGCTTTCCACATGGTTTACCTAAGCTTCTGCCCTACTTATTAAACTGTATACCTGGAGGAACTGGTGTTTAGGACACTCACCTTTCACTAGGCAAGAATAATAGAGTTGTCCATGTGGAATACATTAATTGAAAAATACCCTAATCTTTTTACTTTATAAATAGAAAGGATGCTAATTTCTTCTCTTCTTACAGATCAGTATTGTTATTTTAAACTTTAGTTTGGAAGGAAAATTAGATGGAATGCTCTCAGAGAGATTTTAGAAGGGAGGTCATATGAAAGCAAAGGCAGAATGTCTAAATGGTGATGGGAAGTGAAATAAAAATCTACAACCATCACTTCCTGACCTAGTTATAAGTTATCAGTATCTCTTTGACCACAAAGCATATGTCAGGCCCATGTCTTCCACTATCTTCTGTTGGTGGGTGCTCAGAGACTACAAATTCACTTTAATATGTATATTATCCTCAGAAAAACATAATAAAGAACATAATGGACTGCTTCTAAAAATAATATGCATTTCAAAACAAAATGTTATGAGGTTTCAATTATGTGCGATTTCAGATTATCTCTGCCACTGCTCTGGAGGGTTGCATTTTTTTTTTCCAGCTTCCTAGCCCTTGAAAACATGTATTTAGTTAAGGTCCCTCTGGGGAATCTCCAAATGGGAAAGTTTCTGTTGTTTGTGAGTGAGAAATGCATGTATTTCCTTTGACAAAAAGGAGAACATTAATGCTTGACAATTTACAGATCATTTTAAAATGTGTTTCTACCCCCAAACATTGACCAGTCAGCAAAAATATTTCTAGCACCTATTGGCAATAAGCATGAATCATTTCAAAAAGTTTAGTTCTTAACTACTGGTCTCAGAAATATTTTAAAGTCTTAAAAAATTAAAAGTATTTTTTTAAGTTAGAAAAGTAGTTAAAGTCTCTCTCTCTCAATTTTCCTATAAAGTCCAACCCTTTCTCCAGGCGTTATCATTGTTAGCAATTTCTAAAAAATACTTTTTAAAAATAACATATACAAATATATGTACATATATATATATTTATCCCCTCTTGTTTACCTACATGAGAATATTATTCATATTGTCCTACATTATTTTTCACTTACTATATCTTAGAGATTGTTCTATAACAGGTCTATCTGCCTTTCTATCTCTCTCTTTTTTTTAGTAATACAATAGTATTCCATTGACTGACATT